TTTTTTTTTTGATGATTGCAGTGTTCAAATAAAAGTTGGGAGTTGGGAAGGTTTTTGAAAGAGACCTTGTACCATGCTGATGCCTCCACTAGGTATCCGCAGAAAATTCCCTTGTGCATTTAATGTCTCACAGCCACAAAGGAGTTTTTAATGGTCAATTCAAATGAAGTTGAACTTATATGTTTTTTAAATAATTTAAAATGATGCCTAGGGAGTTCATTTATGTTTCATCTTTTTAAGATCGATTATTTGCACTCAGAATAGATGAGCAAATGACAAAAGCGGTACATGGTGTACATTGTAGAAGCCTTAAAGAGAAATTGAATGGAAATGACATTGACTTTTCTGTGCCTCTATTCTTCACCTCTGCCATCCTTGCAGTTTAAAAATGTAAATGAGTGGCGTTGTGGAGTCTTACCGCGATTTATTTCTTGAATATTTGACACAATTAAATGGACAGAATCATAGACTAACCAAAGATGCCCATCATGTGAGACATGACCTCTACGATTCACTCCTTTTCATTAACTAGACTGCTGACTTTCATTCTGCTTAAGATTTTTCAGAATTTCTCACAGCTGTTAAAGGGATTCAATAATGATGACATCAGATTTGACTGAACTCTGCAACCAGCCAGTATAAATGGGTTGTATAGCATCAGCTGAATTTCCCATTCCAGAGGATTATCTGCCACCTAGCACTTTTAAAACCCTTTTTCCTTGCACCCACTGACAGAGCTTAGCAAAGAATTGGGTTAACGCTCCACTTTCTCCTTACACTCTCCTTAAGGAGCCATTTCTCTAACCGTAGCAGAACTGCTTCGATTCTATTGATCTGTTCTGTTGATTAGTCTGCGTGGTGGTTTAGCCAGGCTTTGAGATCTACGTTTGTACAAGACCTGATTCCATAAACAAAATGATCTCCTTCTATGGATCACCTGGGAAGCTTCCCTCTGGTATGACTATTCATTGTAAAAACTGCTACATGCTGCTTTGGAAGAGGAAAGGCCACTCTGCTCGCCATCGCGTGATTCTGTAACGGAATGTGTGCTAATTTAGGAGGAGCGTGTGCTTTGCAGGCAAAGAGCGCTGACAGCAAATCCACGTGTGAGCTCTAAGCAGGACTGATTATTGGTGAAGGCTGGTAGACTATGCGGTCTATCTAGTCTCAGGCGTGGTTCTTTTTTTTAGTGCTTGTGTTTGCAGTTGTCTTTTGCAAACTGCGTTTGTGCTGTTTGTTTTGTTGGGCGAGATCTGAGAACTGGTGAGTTGGATTGTTGTTTCGATTGTCCACTGGTAAGTTGAATTTTTGTTTTGATCATTTGAGGGCTTGTTTCTTGTGTGAGGTGGGAAATAGCGTATTGGAATTTGGAGAACTAGAAAGAGAAACTGAGACCTAAATATTATCTCTCAGCAGAGTTATAGTTTTTCATTTAGTTTTTTTGTTTTGTTTTCAATTTCAGTTGAGTTATTTTTAATGGTGTTGAAATTGTTTTCATTCAGTTTATTTTGATTTC